GATTGGCTTATTTACGAGAGAAGCACCAAATCATGCACCGAGGTAAGCATTGGTTGTAATAGAAGCGGAAGTCTGCATATGTAAGTGAACTGGGGTTGTGTAGATCAATGTATGTATGTATGTATGTATGTATGTATGTATGTATGTATGTATGTATGTTTCTGTGTGTGTATGTATAGTGGCTGTATCGTACACTGCCTGGTTTGTACACTGCCTTATCGGGGTTGCAAAAAAATCTGGAAATTAACGTTGTGTTCTATATTGCACAGCTCCTATACAGACTATGGCTGCTTCTTGCTGGCAGCTGCTCTTGAGGGAAGCCTCTTCTGTTACCTCTGTCTTTGTTTTGGAACTGGGGGGTGGGGGAGATTGCTTATTAAGAAAAGCCCTTCATCGTTCTGAAATGCATCACTTGCAGTTTTATGGAAGCAGAATTTGGGCAGAGGGTGGTTTCCATTGTGAGTTTCCTGTACCTCAGAAAGGTTTCGGGGGACCATACACGGAGGGGAAAGGGATTGTAAGATGATCTCTGAAGAACACCAGGGGACAGACAACATCTGGGCCTGCATAAAATCAGACCAAAGTCACAGGTTCATTGGGCTCACAGTAAGGCCATTGAGAATACAGGTAGTCCTCGATTTATGACAGTTGCTAAGCAAGGCAGTCTTGTTTTTCTTGGCACAGTTGTTAAGTGAATCATTGCCATTGTTAAGCCAGTAACACAGTTGTTATTGTGAATCTGGCTTCCCCATTGCCTTTGCTTGTCAGGAGGTCGCAAAAGGGGATCCGGGGACACTGCAACAGTCATAAATGTGAACCAATTGCCAAAGATCCGAATTTTGATCACGTGACTGGATATGATGCAGTAGTTGTAAGTGTGAAAAACTGTCCCAAGATGCTTTTTTCCCCAGTGCTGTTGTGACTTTGAATGATCACTAAACAAATGGTTGTTAAGTCGAGGACTACTTGTATTTTTTTATTTATTAATATTAATCGTTTATTATTTTTTTCCCATCTAATTTGAGTGTTTTTAACCTTAGCGGCTTTAAGACAGGTGGACCTCAACTCCCAGAATTCCCCAGCCAGCCATGTTGACTTAATCCAACAGTTTGGCCCCGGTTTAAAACAGCGGTCACCAATTGGTGGTCCGTGATCAAATTTTGATGGTTTGGAGAAAAATTACTTGCATTTTCTATATTGCACTAAATCAGGAGTCCTCAAACTACGGCCCCTGGGATGGATGGGTGCAATGAACGCTCATGTTGCTGCAGAGAGTCTCCCCCTTTGGGGTCTTCTTGTCAGCCTCCTAGTGTGGGCTTTTGGGCGAAGGCTGGAGGGAAGCACCGCTGGTGGCAAAGAGCCGGAGGGCCTCATTCCAGTGGGACTGAATCATGGCCTGGAACTGGCTGCCCATCTCAGCCCAGTGAGGCCTCCAAGTGCCGGTACCTGGCCTTGCACTCCCACAGGTTCTTCCCTCTGCTTGGAAAGTCTATGCTGATAGTCCTCAGAGAGCTGCTTCTTCTGAGCCTCCTTCTTGGTCAGATCCAATTTGAGCTGAGCTGTTTTGCCGACTCTTTCTCGTGGTGGCTGCTTAGCTCCAGCAACTTCTTCCTGTTGGGGCCCTAAGGACCTGGGCGGGCAGACGAGTGGTTGATAGGGGAGGGGCGATAAAGAGGCCGGCGAGGCGCCCCTCGATGTGAGTGACATCAAGTTGACCACGCCCACCCAGTCACATGACCATCTAGCCATGCCTACCCACCCAGTCATTAGGCAAATCATATTAGTGGTCCGTGGGATTTAAAATTATGAATTTAGTGATCTCTGAGGTCCGAAAGTTTGTTGAACCCCCCCCCCTTTTGCAAGGTTCTTTCCTGTCTTCATTCCGGGGGGGGGGGGGGGGAACCATAGAGCTTTTATCTAGAACAGTCTCCAAGTGGAATTCCTTTTTAGGATGCCTTTTCATTGTTTGGTTGTGGTCCCTCCCCCCCCTTTCGTCTCTTAAACATTTTCTTGTTTTGCAGATGTGAAGCCTTCTAACATCTTGGTGAATTCCCGAGGCGAGATTAAGCTGTGTGATTTTGGAGTCAGCGGGCAGCTCATCGACTCCATGGCCAATTCCTTTGTGGGCACCCGATCCTACATGTCTGTAGGTCCTCTTCCTTCCTTACATGCTATTTTTTTAAAAAACGGAGTTAGGACACATAAAGTTTGTCCTGTAGGGAGGGGTTGCTACTATATGACAGCTGGTGTGGGGATGTTGTAATGAAAATTGCCTAACTTCAACCTCTCTCTCTCTCACATGATGGCTTGTGGCTGTGTTGCAGTTACTTCGCCTTAAACCGCTGTTTTCCCAACCTTGGGAACTTTAAGATAGGAGGATTTCAACTCCCAGAATTCCCCAGCCTGCTGGCTGGGGAATTCTGGGAGTTGAAATCCTCCTATCTTAAAGTTCTCAAGGTTGGGAACATTGCCTTAAATGTTGCCTTCCTTTAAGCTGAATCTGTTTCTTTTGGATCTCAGCTACCTTTGGGTTAGGAATGCCTTCATTTTTCCGGCAGAAACTGTTCCTCTCCAAGCCTTAACCCTGTCCGTTGTAGAGGAAGCTCAAGCATTTGTATCAGACACAACAATTCCATATAAATGGCTAAATTAAAGCAGCAGACAAAACCAGAATTCTTTGCAATTCTGACTTTGTGTGTGCTTGGCTGGCGAGCCATTTGGTTGCTTCCACTGGGCTCCTGTGTCAAATAAGAAGAATTAGACCTGAAGAAGCTTGTTGGATGAAAAGCGAAATGTTTTCAAAGAAAAGAAGAGAGTCCAGTTGCCTTTTAGAAATACCAATCGCACTTAGACTTATATACCACTTCACAGTGCTTTACAGCTCTCTCTCTAAGCAGTTTACAGAGTCGGCATATTGCCCCTAACAATCTGGGTCCTCATTTTACCCACCTCGGAAGGATGGAAAGCTGTCGGCCTTGAGCCTGTCAGGATCGAACTGCTGGTAGTGGGCAGAGTCTGCTTGCAATATAGCATTCTAACTGCTGCACCACCATAGCTCTTGAAAGGAGGAGGTAGGTATGTAGGTGGAGGGAGGGAGGGAGAAAGGTAGGTAGGTAGACAGAGACAGACACAGCAATAGATATTATAGATCAGGGATGTCAAACTCATGTTGTCATGTGACGTATTGGGACTCCCCCCCCCCCTTCGCTAAACTGGGCATGGCCAGTGTGTGATGCATCAGGCCTGCAGGCCGTGAGTTTCAAAAGTTCAAAGTTTAATGAATTTACATGCCGCCCAATCCCGAAGGACTCCGGGCGGCTTAGATAAAAACAATTTTAAAAGAATACTAAAAATTTAAAATAGAGAGACAAAGCAGGTTAAAAAGACACAACATGCACTCAATCTTAGTGGGGGCTGGACCTCATTCAAGAGATCAGCAGCCCCAGGCCTGCCGGAACAGCCAGATCTTAATAGACTTTCGGAAGGCCGAGAGAGTGGGGAGGGTCCGGATCTCTGGGGGTAGATAGTTCCATAGGGCCGGGGCAGCTATAGAGAAGGCCCTCCCCCGAGGAGCCGCCAGACAACATTGTCTAGTCGACGGCACCTGGAGAAGGCCCATCCTGTGTGA